GCTTCGTAATCTGGTGATAATCCCGATGAGGAGCATAATGGAGCGCAGTCCTGTGGTCGTTGTCCCTTAGATTGATGTCGGCGCCATGTTGTAAGAGGAGCTCAATGGATTGCGCATCACCCTTTTGTGCTGCCTCCATTAGCGGAGTTCTGCCTTTTTTGTCTACAGCATTAGGGTCAGCTTTTCTTTGGAGCAGGAACTTTGTTATCTCAATGCATTTTGCACTGATTCCAAAATGAATGGCTTGTCTGCCACAAATGTCTTCTTTCGTAATATCTGCACCATACGTTAATAAAATCTGCACAACTTTTGTGTGTCCATTTATTGCTGCTGTCATTATCGGCGTTTTTCCCTCTTCGCATTGTATGTCCTTATATCTTCTATTTTTCTTTAAGATTATATTCATTGTCTGCAAACAAAATTAAAATGTATAAATGCGTTATTTAATTAAAGGGTTGTGTTAATGTTCATTAAATGTGTTAAATGTTCATTGTATTAAAATCATAGTTACTTAGGATATGAAATGTGTGTTCTGTAAAGACGTTCGTCAATTTTTTTATACTAATAAACGTGAAGTCGGAAATACTAAAGGGGGAAGCGGAATATGATGAGCAAAATGATCCCCGGGGATAAATATTTTTTATGTGGAATATCGTTATTGTTGTGAATAGAAATATGTTTTCCGCTGTATTTAAATCGGTTTACCCGAAGTGCGTTGTACAAATTTTAAAAAAAATTCGTTTCTTCTATAAGCTTAAATTTTTTAACCACTTTACGCCTATCATTAATGACTTTAAACATTCTTGCAATTTTCTATATATGATAAAGATAATTCAAGATTTTTTCAGGCGTTTATATCCGATTTTGACCGTTACAATCAGCAAAACAGAAGGGAAAATAAAAAAAGTATTTTTTTTCCTTCGTCTTTTAAAAAACTCTCATGATTTGATACTGATTAAAAAAGCGTCTAATTTTAAATTGTGGCCCCGTATTTTTTTACATTAACCAAAAAGTAAACCGTTTATGTTATAACTCACTAAAAACCCTCGTTGACCCGGTATTTATTATAAACATTTATTAAACAGGAAGAGGAATTCGATACATTCCGGCCCTGGGGCGGAGCCTTCTTCTACTGTCCTATTGTATCTCCCCTCCGTCCTACCCCGCCCCTATCTGCCTTGCTTCCAACTGGAAGGAGCTTGTCTTTCGCCCTCTAAAATATTTACACATTTTTGTTATTGGGGTTCTCGTCCCATAATTCCATTCACGATATAACTGAAAATAATAAACTACTCTAAACTAAAAATAAAATATTTGTACTAGCATACTATTTTTGTGGAGTTTTATACATTATTCCATTACTTTCAATAAATTGCCACATTGTACAACTTACTTTTTTTCATATATTTTCTTTACACGTTTTTATAAAGAAAAATCTGAAATTGATCTTTGTTTGATGTTTAAATATAATTAAAGTAATTTTAATTGAATTCTCGAGTTAGCGTTTAGAGGTCGATGATAAATAGTGGCTGATGGAAAGGGGCGATTGCACATTTAAACAATTACAATATCTCCAAATCATGAGTTCATCGTGGGTACTGACTTGACAGAACTTTTCCTATTACTTAAAATAACTTAATCGTATCACTATTTTCAACAACATTGAAAACCATCATTAACACACATTTAGTTCCCCAATATTCCTTTTACCATTACTGTTGTAATTCAATTCTTCTTTCCAAACTTTCATAAATATAAAATATCATTTCACCAGCCTTCCTGCTCGGCGGCACTCCCAGTAGCCCTTTCGCCAGCCCGCTCGCCAACCAACAGTAGCTATCTCCCTAGCCTTTTGGATAATTCCATAGGGAAGCTGACTTTTACTTACTTCTGGGCAACCTAGCTCTGCCACTTTGAACACAGTGTCGTGGATATTGTGAGTGACGAAGTGATCGGGGTCGGCGCCGGCTTGTAGCAGCCGCTCCGCCGCCTCGAGGTGGCCGCAGGCACTGGCGTAGCGCAGCGCCGTCCAGCCCAGCAGCGCGTCCCTGCGCCCGGGGTCGCAGCCCTTGGCGAGCAGCGCGCCCATGGCGTCGGCACGGCCCAGCGACGCCGCCTGCACCAGCGCCGTGCGGCCGAAGCGGTCGCTCTCGTCGGCGTCGCCTCCAGCCTCCAGCGCCGCCTCCAGCGCGCCGTCGCTGCCCTCCAGCACGGCCCGGTGCACCGGAAGGCCGTCCGCCAGCATTTGCTCCAGGATGTGTCTCACTCCGACGCCCACATCGCAGTTCAGGAGGCGAAGCCACATCTCCTTTGCAGTCTCGGTCGCTTTCTCTTGGTTTTGCAACAGCCAACTCGCCGCAAAATATTCGATAAAGGTGTAATGCAGGAAATGTGGCAGTTCATCTTCATCTTCTCTCAACCATAAGATCCCGGTTCTTTCTTTGATCAGACTAAGTCTGTTTTGGTCTAGATAGACTCTGAATGGCGATGAGTCAACTTCGCTGAGCGTACCATCGGAGACCTGCAAAAAACGATCGTCTTCTATCGGTGCACATTCGGCAAAACGTTTGAAAATATTTATTCAAGATTTAAATTTACTTTAAAAAAAATGAAACTAAATGCTGCAATTTTGAACCTCAAATTGCGTTCTAATAACTCATAACAACGCAGTTTTTTTGTACTGAAACAGCTTATAATTCATACAAAGCTACATTTTTAGCAACATTTGAACAAAATTTACTTTTACGTCTTTACACATTTAAGTGAAAAATATTTATACAATATTTGAAGAAATGTAGTCTCACCCAATACGTTTAAAATTTATTATCGGTAACCCATGCGAACATTATGCGAGGATGACGAGTTATGTGTAGTAATCATATTCAGCGGAAGAGGTGAAAATCTAACAGCCCCGGGAGTTCGGTGGGCACTTAGGGGTTTTGTAACAGATATTCCCTAACAAATCTAGTGTCTCATGCAAACTTCCCTTACCCCTTTTCACACGCATCTCGTGCAGTAATAAAGGTTATTTTACTTCCAAACAAGTATAGTATTTATTTAACGAGGATACTACTACATATTATCAGAAATGTTGCGTGGGTACTGAACGTATAGGAAACAATAATCTTACATTATGCCATTGACTCACAAGTACAAGCATAGCGCAGTTTTGGTGCATCTTTTCGAAGTTATCCGCAAATTCAGGCAGATTTGCCACATTTGCATCTTTCAGTCCAAAACGTCTCTCGTACAAGTCCCTCTTCCTCTCCACGAAGCGACGGTAGAGCTGGTAGAGACTGATGCCGGTGTAGCCCCGACGCAGGCTGGCCCCTGTGCCCAGGGCCCGCGCCGCCTTCGTTGCGTACGCCTCCGCCGCCATCTGCGCGTGCAGCGGGACGTCCAGCAGGCTGCGCTGGCCGCGCCCCGCTGCGCCGTGCAGGGCTGCCACCATCCCGGCGGCGAGGCTCTCGAACGCCGCCGGGGGGCGGTTGCGTGGGTCGACCGACGACCAGTGCCTGCACAGGTGGTTCTTCTGCTCCTCTTTGGAGAGCGGGCGAAGGACAGAGGGCGCGCAACGCAACGCCTTAGTGAGCGCAGGCTGAACCTGTAAGGAAGATTAAAGTTCCATTCATCTTTCAGTTAAATCGATATTTTTTTTTTTAAATTACGTACAAAACACGGTGAACATTTCAAATTTCTCATCAACACTTCAAACTAACCTTCTATTTGTGTTTGGAATATACGTGAATGATGAAGAAATCAATTGTTTCCCGTTTATATGGCGGGCATATGCACGCAGGCGTTCGTTATTATGGAATTCACAATCTATTTTATAGAAAATAATAAAAACTAAAATTCCAAAACTACAAAATTGAAGAGAGATTTCTATTTAGAAAAAGTCTGTTGTAAAAAATTATCCTTTAAATATATAATGTAAATCTCATTATATCACATTCATCCAAACTTTATACTTATGAATATATGAATTATCCTTTCTAACGAAATGAAGAATGAGGCAATTTTCGGAGCAAAGAAAAAAATTGCCTTACCTCCGGGCGCGACGAAACCCACACGAGCCTCACGTTTGTCTCCAGCAACATCTCCAACAGTCGGACGAGCTTGTACTTGTAGGCAGGGCAGATCTCGTCCACCCCGTCGACGAAGACGGCCATGTCTCCCGATTCGCGAAGGGCAGCCTCGAGGAACCTCAGTGCGGACCCAGCCGCGGCACCCGACGCCGCAGCCAGCAGCTGCACCAAGTGCTCCTGCGTCAAGTCTGTCACGCAGAGAAGTCAACGTAAGACTTCTTCGTTCGATATCGCTGACCCCGTATTAGAAGCGGGAATAGTTTGTCTCGCCGGTCGACACCGTCAGCAGCTGCACCAAGTGCTCCTGCGTCAAGTCTGTCCCGCAGAGAAGTCAACGAAAGACTTCGTTCGATATCGCTGATCCCGTATTAGAAAGCGGTGGTAACCGCATCGCCAAATGGCTAACTTGCCAAGGGTGGGGGTTCGCTAACTACAACAACACTACATATTAGCAAGCGGTAATAGTTTTCTCGCCGGAAGAAAAAGTTTTTTCTGATTCTGTGGCGGGGCAGTTCCCCGGCCAGTTATCACATGCGAGGAAAGGATCGCGGCTTTCGGGATTAGCGCGCATATCCTATGACTGTGGAGCAAATAACGTGAGAGACTTGAAATCCGTTAATTCAAATCTTTTGTGTGTGCAAGATAGATAAGAACTCTTGCCAGTTCACTTCTTTGCTTGCATTATGAGATATTGGGTATTTGATTATTGTTAATGTTGCTGTTGGCGTTTGTTTTTTTAGTTGCAAAGTATCACCAGTAAAGGTAGACCGGAATACTGTACAGGATTTTGTAACATGTGTTTTTTAAAATGATATTAGGTATGAAGTAATTTGATTTTTTTGAAATTCCTCAAAATTTCATTGAAAGAGCCCCGAACTCATTAATATTCCTTTTGATGTTTGCCGTCTCTACAAAGTATTCCATGCGTTCAAAAAACGTATGTTCCCAGAAACAGATAATGGTCTCAGTAACTTTTTCCTTTTAGAAAGATTCCCCTTAGCATGCGCAGGGCGTCCCATCAACTATGAGCCACCCCATAACTGCTAAACGGTCCACGATATCGAAGTGCAATTTTCGCTCAGCGATGCGAAATCAAGGGGCACCAAGTACGCCGCAGTATCTTTGGAAGTATTTTTAGTTTTGGAGATGTTTTAACATCTTCGATTTTTTAAACGGAATTATAAATCCTCATCGGCAATGAATAGATCATAAAAAGACGAATACATGTTTCAAATGGTAAGATTTTGATAGTACTTTGAATATTTTCTGTAGCAGCCATCGCCGCCTTTGCTTGGCGGCGTCGAGACTCTTACGTTTAATTTAATATCATACGACAGAATCAAATTACTTTCAAAATACTAACATATGATACAGCACTGTACTCCTCTATTTATGACCTTTCCGTTGCTAATAAGAAAAACATAGTTCCATTTAAAAAATCAAAGATGATTAAATTTCTCGGCAACAAAATATATTATGGACAATATAACTACGGCCTATTACATGACCCATTATCCCACATTGTTGAGCGAAAACTGCACTTCGATATAATGAACCGTTTAGCAGTTATGGGGGTGGCCCAGTTAGTGAGACATTATTTTATTATTTTGTTATGACATACAAAAATCATACATTTTTATATATTTGTTGCATTTTTTGTAATTTTTGACTAATAAGTAATTTTTTATCCTTTTCCGTCATTTTTAGAACATTTTCTTTTGGTTTCATCAATTTTAATATATTAACTGTACTTGTTTCAAATAATATTTACGAGTTGCGAAAAATATTCACCATAGAATTCCTGAGTAGCCTAATCGCTCTTATATTGTAATGTCAGCCGTTGAAAGTACAACGTCATCTAAAATTTTTGTGACGCCATTCAGCACCATTGTCGTTTCGGTTAATTTCGTGATAAATAAAGGCAGAAAGTTTCTTTTAAAGAACAGTCCAAACCAAAAGTTTGAAAGCTGCGTTCACTTGAACGAAAGGAAGAAGCATCAATTACATCAGTAACATATCAAATAGCTAAAGTTGTTCATCTGAACTGGTTTTGATCAAAATTTTTGTCATTTTTCTTTGCAATTTTAAACATTTCAAGAAAACTGTGTTGACCATTTTGGCAATTTTTAGATCAAAATCCTCCTTTATTCGTTACAATTCTGCAAATCTTAGAAACGTTGTCATATACGCCTTGAAAACTCTCTTTCGAGCCTTTTTAGACATACTCTTACATTGTAGATGTGTTAGCTCCTCTTCTCTCTCCGCGAGCCCTGTCGAACGCATTGCTGTAAGCATGTGGGCGACATTATCTCGCTATACAGAGAGTGCACTGCTGCTCAGAAGTAACCAGTGTTTTGCTTTATCCAGAGCAAAGTGTGAGCCAGCAGCTTCACGAGCAAAAGTGTTGGCCTAGCGGAAGCCCACTGCTCTCGTAGCAACGGACTCCGAAGTTCTAACGTGTCGAGCGACGTCGAGATGGGGGGATCCGTCCGTCTGGCAGCAATCACAGCGATCGCACCGGAAGAAGCAGCACTCTCCTCCAAGGATCCGCCTTCCAAGATGCACAGCAGCAGACTCCACTTCCGCTTCCTGCACCACCTAACCCAGCGACTGCTACTCCAACTGACGACGGCTTCCGTGTGCCAAATGGACATCACACGGCCAAAGATCTTCCTCCTGACGCACCTACGTCACTTACCACTGACGACCGCTTCAGTCCACTGACACCAGCAGAACCGGAGGCCGACAAGGCAAATAACACCGAAATCACCAGAGCTCCCACGCCTACGACGCGCCCTCAAATAGGAGCAATACGCATTGACAGCAATGGACTGAAACACCCCCATTGATGTCTGAATGTCCTGCAACAACTTCTACCCAACAGCTTCTTTGCGAAAAGCACCCGGACTGAACAAATCCCCCAAGCCAAGACAATACACGCCCACCAGAAAGTCCTGAAGGCCTGGACCCTAACATACACGTTACTTTGACAGCAACCTTTACTACTACCACCACCATAGGACTACTGAAGAACGACACACCAAACTAGTCATCAAAGGAATATCACCCAACATCCCCCTGACCGACATCTCGACTGCCCGCTCCCAATTCCCCTTTAAAATCCACCACATTTCTGAGATGAAAAAAAGAACTGACAGCAACACCTAGGTCGGACATGGACTGTACGTGATTGGGAACAGACAGGACACAGGACAAATCAAATCGAATATCAAATTCCTACTTCAGCACAATCACCATCGACGACTTTCACCAGACTGACCATATACGTCGATGCGACAACTGCCAGATGTTATTTCACACTCGACAGTACTGTCACAGACGGACATGTGCTAAATGCGGTGAAAACCACGACACCTCCACTTGCACAAACCCCAACTTCAATGCGCAAACTGCAAAGAAGCCCACCCTGCCTACTCATGTGACTGCCCCGTTATGATAAAGGCAAAACAAGACAAACAAAAGACACTCCAACGACTTAGTCAAGACCTGACAAGACCAGGACGAACATTGGAAGCTTCCAGCTGACTTCACACTACTCCGTCAAACAAACACCACCACACTCCAACAAACCTTCGCCTCAACTACGACCAATCCTACTCCTGAACCAGCAACTTGACTCCCACTCCCACCTCCACCTTCAGCGACTTAAAAGAACTTATCTCACTCCACTCAATCTAACCCAACTCATAGCTTCCATAAAAGACATTATCATCATCATCTGCGTAGCACCGCCTGACAACATGACCAAAATAATCACAATCATTACAGCAGTATCAAAAGTTTCCTAAATTCACCAGACGCCGAATTCTTAACATCTCCTGGAACGCCAATAGAGCGGACTTGCTCGAAAGCTGACTGACAAAACAATACCTGACAGACTACTCCGTCGAGGTACTACTTAAACAAGAGACGCACTTATCACCTTCCCGCCCCTTCAACATCCCCTACTACATTGCCTACCGAACAGACTCTCCCACCCACGGCGGTGGAACTGAAATTTGCATCCTAAAAGACATCCCTCGCACCCAACTCCCCTTCGCCCCCACCACCCACATTGAGAATACCTTAATTCAAATAGCCACTCCTCACAGACATCTCACAATAGCTTCCATTTATAAATCTCTTCACCTCCCACTACTAGACAGCGACCTGACTTGACTTACTACATTTCTAGTACCAGGAGACATTAATACCAAATCAACTACCTGGGGATGCAGACATACTAATACCAACGAAAAAATACTGCAGACGTATCTAGACACAAACGCACATATAAACCGTTCAGCACCAGCAGAATCCACACACATTTGCGACCTTCCTCACGACATCTTGGAGTTCACCTTTCACTCCTCCAACGTTACAATAAGCACCCCTCATCCAAATCGCCAACTCGCCTCCGATCACCTTCCAATCCTCTTCACCACAGACTCCACATCCCACAACTTTAACTTACCCTCCCGATCGATCCCCACCGACTGGCTCAAAGTCAAACCTCCAAACGCACTCAAAAATCCAAACGAAATCGAACTGGTCATAAAACATCTGACTCTCCAAATGAACCGATCCTTCCGAAAAGCATCCACATTCATCGACAACACACAAGAACTACCAAACCACATTCTAGTATCTTTACACTAAAAACGGAAGGCTCAAAAGACCTTCTACAAAACACGCCGACGTGACGACACAATGACGTACTTGTATTACAAACGAACACTTAATACTACAAACGCCAAAACTGGACATAAACAATTACAGGCCTTACTAAGCACCCCAGCAACATTTAGAGTTTAATAAAAACTCTGAAAGAAACTACCCACAACATTTCGCCACTACTTCGACCTGACGGCACAAAAACCCACGAACCGCAGACTTATGACAGAACTTTTTGCAAACTACCGACAAGATTCACTGTACCCGAGACCCCCCTCTTCTCTTCCACCATCCTATATTTCTTGAAAACGCCCCAACTCCCGCGACATCAACAAACACCTTGGTGCAAACAGACACGGACGTAACGAACGAATTGAAAAACCTCGACGGCGGCAAAGCGAGCGGCCCCGACGGAATCAGAACCATCGCCCTGAAAAAACTGACCAAAAACGTGACTGACTTCATTACAAAAATATTAAACGCCTGCATCAAAACCTACTTTCCCACCTGGA